GGTGAAAATCGCAGCACTTTAAGATCAGAAACAAGACAGGAACCTCCACTCTCATACCTTTTTTTAAAGATTTATTTTAGAGATCGAGAGAAGGGGCAGAGGCAGAGGGAGAATCTAAAGCAGACTCAGCACAGAAACCAATGTGGGGCTTGATCTCATGACCCTGATATCAAGACCTAAGCTGAAACCAAAAGTTGGACGCTTAACGGACTGTGCCACCCTGGTGCCCCCACTCTCACCACTTTTATTCAACAGACTACTGCAATCAAATAACAAAAAAAAATATGAGGCATCCATATTGGTAAGGAAGAAGTCAAGCTGTGTCTATTTGCAGATGACGTGATACTATACATAGAAAACCCTAAGGACTCCAACAAAATGTACTAGAAGTAATACAGTAAAATTGTCAGAATACAAAATTAGTACTCAGAAGTCAGTAGTGTGTCTATATGCTTATAACTAAAGTAACAAAGAAATTAAGAAAACAATTTCATTTGCAGTTGTGCCAAAAAAAAAAAAAATACCTAGGAATAAACTTGCCCAAGGAGGTGAAAAACTTGTACTCTGAAAACTATAAAACATTTCTGAAAGAAATTGAAGACAACATAAGCAAACAAAGATATTATTCCCTGCTTATGGATTGGAAGAATTAATATTGTTAAAATGTCCATACTACTCAAAGCAATCTACAGATTCAGTACAATCCCTATCAAAATACCAATAGTATTTTTCACAGAATTAGAACAAGTGATACTAAAATTTGTATGGAACTACAAAAGACTGAATAGCCAAAGCAATCTTAAGAAGTGCAAAGGTGGAGGTATCACAATCCCAGATTTCAAGATATATTATAAAGCTATAGTAATCAAAACAGCATGATACTGGCACAAAAATAGACACACAGATCAATGGAACAAAATAGCTCAGAAATAAACCCACACTTATGTGATCAGTTAGTGACAGAAGAGGCTGGAACATACAATGAAGAAAAGAGTGTCTCTTCAAGAAATGGTGTTGGGAAAAGTGGACAAGTACATACATGGAAAAGAATGAAACTGGACCACATTTTTTTTAAATCATACATAAAAAGTAAACTCAAAGACTAAAGAACTCAATGTGAGACCTGAAACCATAAAAATCCTAGAAGAAAGCACCGGCAGTAATTTCTTTGACATTGGCCTTAGCAACATTTTTCTAGATATGTCTCCTGAGGCAAGGGAAAACAAAAGCAAAAATAAACTATTGGGACTATATCAAAATAAAAAGTTTTTGCACAGTGAAGGAAACCATCAACAAAACTAAAAGGCAACCTACAGAATGGGAGAAGAATTTTGCAGATGATATCTGATAAGTGCTTAATATCTAAAATATACAAAGAATTTATATAACTCAACACCAAGAAAACAAATAGTCTGAGTAAAAAATGGGCATAAGACATGAGCAGACATTTTTCCAAAGAAGACATCGAGATGGCCAACAAACCCATGAAAAGATGCTCAACATCACTCATCATCAGGGAAATGCAAATCAAAACTGCAATGAGAGATCACCATACACTGATGAGAATGGCTAATATCAAAAGGACAAGAAATAGCAAGTATCTGTGAGGATGTGGAGAAAAACCCTCATGCAGCATTTGTGGGTATGTAAACTGATACAGCTATTGTCCAAACTATGGAGGTTCCTAAGAGAAAAAAATATGGAAATACCATATGATGCAATAATTGCACTACAGGGTATTTGCCCAAAGGAAATGAAAGCACTAATTGGAAAAGATATATTCATACTTATGTTTATTGCAGCATTATTTACAATAGGAAAGATACAGAAGCAACCTAAGTGTCTATTGATAGATGAATGGATAAAGATGTGGTATGTACATATAATGGAATATTATGCAGCTATAAAGATGATCTCTTGCCATTTGTGACTACATGGATGGACCTAGAGAGTATTATGCTAGGCGAAATAAGTCAGTTAGAAAAAGACAAATACCATTCCATATATGATTTCAGTCATCTATGGAATCTGAACAACAAACGAATATACAAAAAAAAGCAGAGGAGCGCCTGAGTGGCTCAGTAGGTTAAGTGTCTGCCTTCAGCTCAGGTCATGTTCTTGGGGTCCTGGGATTGAGCCCCGCATCGGGCTCCCTGCTCAGCGGGGAGTCTGCTTCTCCCTCCCTCTCTACCCCTCCCCCCCACTTATGCTCTCTGTCTCTCTCAAAATCTTTTTTGCTTTTTTTTGAAAAGATTTTATTTATTTATTTGACAGAGACACAGCGAGAGAGGGAACACAAGCATGGGGAGTGGGAGAGGGAGAAGCAGACTCCTTGCGGAGCAGGGAGCCCAGTGTGGGGCTCGATCCCAAGACGGACCCTGGGATCATGACCTGAGCCAAAGGCAGACGCTTAACGACTGAGCCACCAGGCGCCCCCTAAAATCTTCTTTTCACAAAAATCAGAAATAGACCCATAAGTACAGAGAACAAATGTTTGCCAGATGGGAAGGTGGTGGGGGATGGACAAAATGGGTGAAGGAGAGGGGGAGATACAGGCTTTCAGTTATGAAAATTAATACGTTACAAGGGTGAAAGGTAGAGATAGTCAATGATAGCATAATATGGTGACAGATGTTAGCTACATTTGTGGTAGGCATAGCATAACATAGAGAAGTTGAATCACTGTGTGGTATACCCGAAACTAATGTAACATTGTGTGTCAACTATACTCAAATCTTAAAAATTATAATTATTCAATCTATTTGTTGTAATTATTCAGATTTCCTATTTCTTCTTGAGTCTGTTTTGGTGGTTTATGTCTTTCTAGGAATTTATCCATTTCATCTAAGTTATCTAATGCATTGTCATACTCTTGTTAATAGTATTCTCTTAGGACCCTTTCATTTCTGTGAAGTTGATAGTGATTATTTCAGTAATTTGAATTGTCTGTCTTTTTTTCTTGGTCAGTTTATGCAAGGTTTTATCAATTTTGTTGATCTTTCCCAAAACCTATTTCTGGTTTCATTTATTTTTCTCTGGTGTTTTCTGTTCTGTATTTAATTTTTTCTGCTCTGATTTTTATTTCCTTCTTTCTGTTAGCTTTGGATTTAATATGTTCTTTTTCCAATTCATTAAGGTAGAAAGTTATTAGTATGAAATCTTTTTTTTTTCTTAGCGTGCTCAGGCTACTATAAAAAATTACTGTAGACTGGATAGTTTAACAGAAATTCATTTTCTAACAATTCTGGAGGCTTGAAGTCCAAGATCAAGGTGCCTGCCTAGCTAGATTCTGGTGAGAACTCTCTTCCCAGATTGCAGAAGGCCCCTCTCACTATGTCCTCACATGGTAGAAAGTAAGACAAAGTAAGCTCTCTGGTGTCTCTTCTTACTAGTACACTAATTTCACCATAAGCCATCATGGCGTCATCTAAACCTAATGATACCTTAAAGTCTCCCATCTCCAAATACCATCACGTTAGCGGTTAGGGCTTCAATATATGAATTTCAGAGGGATACAATTCAGTCTGTAACATCTTTCTTCTCTTTAATGTAGGTGTTTACTGCTATAAATTTCCTTCTATGCACTGCTTTTGCTTTATCCCATAAGTTTTCGTTCTGCTACTGATTTCCAGTATCATTCCATTGCTAAGTCCAATAGCTGAGCCCCCCACCACCACCCAAAGTAAGTTTCTAACAACTCTGCTCTTTTTCCTGTATATTGATTACTGTTTCCTGTTTTTTTTGCCATATCTCATAATTTTTTGTTGAAAACTAGATGTTTTAGGTAATGTATTATAGCAACTCTGGGTACTGATTCCCATCCTCCGGGGTTTGTTGTTTGGTTATTTGCTTAGTGACTGGGCTGGACTTTTTCTTTGAACTTTAGTTTTCCCACAGTGTGCAGTCTCTAATGTCATTTCTCAGAGGGATAGCCTTGAGCATGTGTAGTCACACTGGAGTGACACAACTCTGAGTGTCTCTTTTCCTAATCTCCCTGTCAAGCTTCTAGTGCTTGTCTGCCTCTGTTGGTGTCACACCCAGATGTTAGCCTCCACTAACTGTATTTTTTGGTAACAGTTCCCCCAGACATAAATTGATCCAGTGTAATCTAATAGAGCTTCTAATAGAACTTCTGCCCTATGTGTAGGGTTAGGTGAAGGAAAGGAACCTCAGACCTATCGGGCATGCCTTGTGGGAATAGAGCTTCTGCATCATGGAGCTAGGGGTAGGATGGGATGGGAGGAGGAATGTTAATGACTTTCCCCTGCTGGGGAGAAAGCATAGCTTTTGACTGAGACCTGGAGGGAAAGAGCCTCCAGGCTTTAGTTGCCTGGAGTAGAGTTTCTGTCTCAGCTGAGGGATGGAGCAGGTCATGGCTTAAATGCCATAGATTCACTGTTCTTACAAGAATTAGATAATTTTTTTATATATGTTTCTCCATTTGCTGTATGCCCTTAGGATATTCATAGTTTTCAGAGACTTTAAATGTTGATGGCTTCTGTTTTTATAATTTTTCAAGTTACAGTTGTTTTGTTGGAGAGAGGGTCTGTAGAACTCGTCATACTATAATTCTGTAAGTGTCCAACTCTCACTCATTTTGAGGGCTCCATTTTTTAAAACTCTCAGATCATACCCTTAATTTAGGCTTTGCAAACTATAATCCTTGGATCAAATCTGCATAAAGTTTCATTGGAATACCGTGATGCCCATTTATTTTCATATTGTCTATGTTTAACAGAGTTGAGTAATTACGACAGAGACCATTTGGCCCAGGAAGCCTAAAATATTCAGTATCTGGCCTTTTACAGAAAAAAAATGCCAACCCCTACTTTAGTTGATTAGCTTTACTAAAGTCTTTTATTACTTAAAGATAAAAGTGCTTCTGTAGTAAATATGAGTTGTCAAGAATACCAACTATAATTAAAATCAGATTTGGCTTAAAGATAAAAATAGCAGATTTGTAATATAAACATATTTTCTGGTTTTTCCAACATTTTCAGATCTGGTAGCTCAGCGAGGAGAAAGATTGGAATTATTGATAGATAAAACAGAAAATCTTGTGGATTCGGTAAGTATGGGATATGGTAATATTTTTCAGCATCTAAATAAAGTAGAGAAACTGGTTGATGACTAACATAATAGGGAGACATGTTAAATTTAATAATTTACAGGGTTTTTTCCTTTCTAACTCCATGATGTGATTATGTTGTGATGATAAGGGTAACAATGCGGCATAGAATAAAAGCCACAACCCATTAGAAACCATTAATGAAATTTTGGTTTGGAAAACATACTCAATATACATAAACAATTTTTTAAAGCTGTAGATTAATGCCTTTATAGTCTGCATATACCATTTGTTTCTGTACCAAAGTTTTGTGATACATGAAACAAATGTGCAGGCCAGTTGTGATCCAGTATGAATCCTGAAAACTGGACAATTCAGTCACTTTCTTGCTTACCATGATAGCTTGAGCCTTCATTGTATCAAGCAAGAGTCAAATTGGGAAGGGCCAATGAGCCTTAAAAGAGTCAGTATGTCCCTGTGACCTACTTACGCTACAGTTGTGTGTGTCTTTGCATTTTCCATCTGGATAGTGGCTGGGGGTTTTCAGGAAAGATGATAGATATATAGTGAATAGATGTGACTAGATGGAGGGCAGAGATCAGTGAAATTCTAGGTCTACACAATTTGAAATTTAAATGCAGAGTAGTTTACACCGTGAAATGGTTTAGTAAGTCATCATGTTTATTCCTACCAGCAGCTAGATTGTAGTGGTTAGGAGCACAAGCTCTACAGTCAGGCTGCCTGGGATTGATTCCCCTCTCTGCCACTTAGTAGTTGTGCAACCTTAGACAAGTTACTTGACCTCTCTGTGCCTCAGGAATCATTGTCTGTAAAATGGAGCTATATGTCATTAAATCAGATAATGCACGCAAAGTGCCTAACACGGTGTCTTGTGCATAGTAAGAGCTATTTCAGTGTTTATTGTTATTGTTAGTTTTATAGGGACATGTATTAACAGTAGTTTTTAGGAGGATAATAGTTTTAAGTCAAAGCACATGGTAACTGGAGGAAGGGTGGTACCATACAGCAAGTCAAAATACCAGGTTTTTATAATGGCTCACTTTGTAACCCATTGCTATGGGGCAAAGAAGTATCTGATCTCAGATCTGCAGATCAAATTCTTAATCGAAGATTACTCTGTTTAGCTAGAATGGTCTTGTATTTAGCCTGTAATTTCCAAATAAGTCTTTAATTTTGTTGACTATGTGACCCAGAATAACAAAAGGTACTAATTAATTAACAGATGTCTCTCTTTGTGGAGGCATAACATATGTAGAATAAGGTGCAGCAAGTGTACCATTTAGTTATTTTTTACACATATGTCTATATGCATGTAACCGCCACTTAGGTCAAGAAAAAAAAAACATTTCGAGTACTGCAGAAAGCTGCCTCATGCTCCTTCCTGTTAATAATCCCCAACAGAGGTAACCATTTTATGACTTACATTACCCTAGATGATATTTTGTTTGTTCTTAAAGGTATAGAAATGGATTCATCTGTTATATACTAGCTTCTCTCTGGCCTCTTTCACTATTATATCTATGAGATTCATTCATATTGTTCAATATGGTAATAGTTTATTTTGTTGTTTTGTACTATTCAGTTGTATAAGTCTGCCTACTACAATTTGTTTATCCATGCTCCCCTGTTGGGAATCCATTCTAATTCCAGATTCTGTAGAATTATCTGTTGATCTATTGATCTGGTCATTTTTTTCAGTCTTTTTTTCTTCTGTGTTTCATTTAGGATAGCTTCTGTTAGTTTTATTTTGTGGTTTGTAATCTGCTGTTATTCCCACCTCATATATTTTTCATCTCTACAAGCTTGATTTGGTTCTTTTTTATATCTTCCACATGTCTCCTTTACATGTGCGTATTTCCCTCTGCCTTCTTGAATATATGAAGTATGTGTACAATTGAACTGTTTATTCCACTTTTGGTGAACTTGGGCATACAGCTCTGTTGGATATATACCTAGGAGTGGAATTGCTGGGCTGTTAGGGAATTTTGTTGTTTGGTTGCTTTAAACTCTTTGTGTCTGGTGGGAATGGTTCAGTAGATATTGAGAAGTCAGTGTTGCAAAAGAAAATGAGTAACTGAAGGAGCAAAGTTCCTTGGGTTTTGGGCCTCATACAAGTAAATACATATCTTCTTATGGAAATTGAGCAGATTTTTATGGCTCAAAAATCCCAGGATTATATTGGGTAGAACAGGCAAATGTGTTTGCAACCAACTGGCTTAGAGGGAACCTTTCTTCCTGGAAGCATAAAGAGGAAAAGGCTTTCACACTAGCAGGAAGAGCCATTTGTGATTCTTGACACCACATGCATTACTTCGGTGGACAAGAAAAAGGGGAGAAGCTTTTCCAGTGGGCTTGTACTGCTTACCATACACCTGACCAAGTCCTGCTTCTGAGAACTAGTGATTATGAATGGCTAGTCTCGACCTGTGAAGACAGTAATGAATTCATGATTCAACATGATTAATGAAAGTAAAAGTTTTACAGGTATTACTATGAATCGGTTATGTAGTCAGTGCCAGGGATCAAATAAATCTTTTTTTTTTTTTCCTAGTCTGTCACCTTCAAAACAACCAGCAGAAATCTTGCACGAGCCATGTGTATGAAGAATCTCAAACTCACTATCATCATCATCATCGTATCAGTTGTAAGTTTTTGTTATTTTAGTGTGTTATTTTATTTTTCAATCTTTAAGAAACTGGATGCTGGAATTCTTTCTCAATGATTAGCTGTCCTGTGAAATCACTCCAAAATATTGTACTTAAACTCCATCTTCCTAAATGTTTATATGTAAGGAATCAGGCAAGGCATTCCAAATATTCCTGGATATTGAATGTTTCTGTCATCCCGTTTGAAATGGGATTCTTTTAAAATTACATTTTGTAATTCCATATTTTCTAATTATATTTCTATTTTCTAGCTGATTGCATTCTCTGTTTCTTTATTTCTGTTTTTTTTCTAACTGATCTGTTTTTGTGTCTGGCAACTTTGTATAACTCTTATTGGTTGTAATAGTTTGTCAGTTTATTCTTCTGTATTCTGATTCTTCTGTCAGGAGTCAGCAAACGTTCTGTAAAGTGCCAGATAATAAATATTTTATGCTTTTCAGGCTGCATGTAGTCTCTGTCACATATCCTTTTTTTTTAAACCTTTAAAAATATAAAAACCATTCTTAGCTCACAAGCCATGGGCTGTCATTTGCCTACTCGTGCTATAGGTAAATTATGTTACCGTCTGTTAATAATTTCAATGTTATCAAATTTATATACACACGTTCTATATAATTCTGCATAACTATATATAGGTATGTATATGTATATATAATTTGCAGTTACTAGCAATGTTGAACAACTGTGGTGCCAGTGGGCATCTTTATTTAGTTCCCGGTTTTAAGTGGAATGCTTCCAATATTTCATTTGTAAGAGTGATACGTAGAGGCGCCGAGGTGGCTTCGTCAGTTAAGCATCTGCCTTTGGCTCAGGGCATTTGGAGCCTCCCTCGCGTAGGGCTCTCTTCTCCCTCTACCCTGCTCCCCCACTCGTGTTCTCTGTCTCTCAAATAAATAAAATCTTTTTTAAAAGGAGTGATATGTATTACGAATTCTTGTTGGATTTTTATCATCAAAGGTAACTTTATTTTTGTTTCTAGATTGCCTGAAGTTTTAGTCATGAATAGGCATTTAATTTTGGGAAATAATATTTCTCTTCCCAATGAGTTGACAATATGACTATCTGCATTTAATAGTAATGTATAGAATTACAGTAATAAATGTACTTATAACTATCCTTTCATTTCTGGGATAAATACTAAGTGGCCATTATGTAATATTCTTTTAATGCATCATGAGTTCAATTTCCTAATGTCTATTTAGTAGTTCTCATGTTTATAAATGTAAATGAGTCTGTATGCTGTTCTCCTTTTGTAACTCCTATGTAAACAGATATTGGACCTCTTTGAACTATCCTGAATGTCTGATAGCCTTTTTAATATGCATTACATTTGAGAGAATTACTTAGCTCACTCTTGCCTGCAAGCTAATTTTCTTTTCAGCTCAATTCATCTTATGTATTCATTTTTCATAGATATGCTTTAAATTTCTAAGAACTCTTATTATTCTTAATGTAACCTTTTTTTTCGTGGAGTTCTCCTTGTTAACAGATGTAGCCTCTCTTTGAATTTCTCTGGATATATGTTAAGGATACATCACAGGGAATTAGCTTATGTGATGGTGGGAGTTGGCTTGGCAAGTTCAAAATCCTTAGGGCAGGCTGTCAGGAAGGGCAGTCTGGACTGCTGGGGCAAGAGCAAAGGCATAATTCATAGACATAATTTCTTCTTCATCAAGGAAACTTCAGCTCTGCCCTTAAGGACTTCTAACTGAATCAGGCTAATTTGGATTATATAAGATAATCTGCTTTACTTGAAGGCAACTGATTTATGGGCTTTAATCACATCTTCAAAATACAGTAACACCTAGGTTAGTGTTTAATTGGGTAACTCTGTACTATAGCTAGCCAAGCTGACACAAATAAAACTGATCTGGGAGAAATATAGTTATGTTTATCTATAATGGGTTTATTATTTTTGTTTTTAAATGAATTATATAGGTATTTTTAAAGCTTTATTTCTAATATGGTAAGTGTTGATAATTATAATCCCCCTATGTAAGAGCTATTTGGAGTCCTCAGTGATTTTTGAGAGTGTGAATAGGTCCTGAACCAAAAGTTTGAGAGCTGCTGCTCTACAGAGGGTGGGAGGGAGATGCTTTACTTTGGGGGTAGTTTATGGCTGGGTGAAGCAGCCTTTCTCCCTATCCTCTTGCCATTTGCAGAAGCCCAAAGTTAACTGTGTGCGGATACCTCTGACTCAGCTCCACTTTTCCTTGACCCCTGTTGAAAGACCTCCACCTTAGATAGCTGCATTTACCTAACAGAGAAGAGCAGCCATCAATATGTTGATGTTATACTAGAAATTGTGCCAGAGCCTGGAATGTCACATTGCTCAGGATACTCAGGTGGCACATTCTAGGCTCCTCAGCTTAGCTTCTTCCTTCTACTTGGGTCTGCAAATTTACAATGATTTATAAAGCTGGATTATTGTTAAATTCAGATTGTATTTATTGATTACTTACTACATACATAGCACTGCTCTTAATGCAGTATCAGTCTCTCCCAAAAGCTGTTGTTGCCTAATATATTGTACTTCAGCTTTAAAAATCCTTGTATTTCAGCTGTGGTAAATAGTCAACTTCATGTCATACTGGAATATCTGTGTACGTGTGTGTGTGTGTGTGTTTGTATGTGTACCTGTGAGTAGTTTATTCGTTAAGAACCAGAATTTGCTGTAAACCACCCCCTCCCTCACATTTGTAGAGAAGTAAGGCAAAAGCACTCTGCTGACTTTCGGGAGCAAGCATGGAATTCATAAATGTGTTTTTTTTCTTAGCATTGAGTAATGAAATCAGCCCATTAAAGATATCAAAAAAGTTGTAATTTAAAGCAAGACAAATGATGAAATCAATGCAGTGATCCTAATGTTTAAAATAAATCTGTTTTTTGGAATTTAGTAATGTGAACAAGCGTATACTATTAAAAATACACTTCAGGGGCTGCTGGGTGGCTCAGTCGGTTAAGCGTATCTTAGGTCATGATCCCAGGGTCCTGGGATCGAGTCCCACATTGGGCTCCCTGCTCTGCGGGGAGCCTGCTTCTCCCTTGGGCTCTGCCCCGCCCCCTGATTGTGTTCTCTCTCTTTCTCTCCCTCAAATAAATAAAATCTTTAAATATAGATTGTATATATATGTATATATAAACACTTCAAAAATCCAATACAATTAAAAAGTTAATCCATCTATAATAGGACCAGCATTTTTACTGTGTTACTTGTATCATCAGCTTTCTTTTGATTTGGTTATTGTAATTATCATGTCATTATTCACCAAAAGGTTCATAGCAACATTCTTGCTCATAGGCGATATAGAGCAGAGTCTCTACTCAGACTTTTAAATATTTCTAATCATCCTAATAATGAAAAGTGACACGTGTGTAAAACCTAAACATATGCTTCATAATAAAATTATACATCAGGAGAATTAAGATAATTTGTGATTTTGATAATTAATGATGTCTCAATAAGAATTGTTCATAGAGCTTGATTCTGCCTGGTTTCCAGTGAAGAGAAACAACCCCACTGCTTTCTCTCCCAATGAAGAACGTATACTAGAATTCAAATGTGTGAGAGTTGTATCAGAAAGGATCCCTTTAACTCCACTTCTGCCTTTGAAAATACTTGATTGGTGTATTATATTATTACACAACTACTACTGTAATGGAATCAGTATCTGTTAATAGGTTTTTACTATGCTTTATGTATTATTTATGAGCCTATGATAGATTCAAGAAAATAAAATTGCCTTCCTTCTCCCTCTAGGTGTTCATCTATATCATCGTGTCACCTCTCTGTGGTGGATTTACATGGCCAAGCTGTGTGAAGAAATAAAAAAAAAGTTGTCATTAACCAAGGAAATGAGACAACAAGGAGTTAAGAGCAATCCATGTGATTCAAGCCTTTTAATACTGACAGATGGTGTCTGCCAGTCTCTTCAACCCTCTTCTATTTCCTTTTTTTTTAATCCTGTTGTACGCTTCCAGATTTATCTTTGTCCAGTTTATTCCAGTGCACTTCAGATTTAACCATTTATTGCAGCAGTAGCCTTAAAAAGGCTTTTGTTTCTTTAGTTTGTTAATTAGAGTCATCTATTTAGAGAAACGTTTTTGTTTGTAATTGCACATAGCTGTCACCAAGGTAGAAACCACAAGTCTTATGAGCTGTCTACTAAGACTTTGGATGAACTTTGTATTTGCACACAAAAGTATTCCAGAGACAGCATTGCTAATATCTCGTCTTAATATCTTTTGCTATTGAAGAGTTTTAGGTGCTTGAAAACAATTTAAATGGAGAATCGTTATTTGGGGAATTGTAATTAATTTGTTGGTGCTGCTTGTTTCTAGGAGCCCATGCAGGTAAAGTTTTAAACATTTTCTGTCAGTCATATGGGGAACATTTTGCTAGCCCATTAGAAATACACAGAATTAACTTTGTCCTTCTAGTATTCACTTCCAGGAAGAAAGGTTTGACCTTTCACAAACCTTGCAGAGCATGATATCCTCTCTTTCCTCATTGCAGTTGATTTGAAAAGATGATGGTTTAAATATTGAAGGTTGTGGTTTTTTATATACTTCTTTCTTTTTGGTGGATATTTAGAGCAATTGTATAGTTAATAGAATGGGTAGTGGAGAAGGTGGAGAGGCAAATTCTTCTGGCTCCCCAGAGAAAAATAAGAGAACCACGGTGGATGTACTAGTGTTTTAGGTATATAAGGGAGAGATAGTATGGGGAATTTTTTCCAGTCTGGGAAAAGCCCAAACTGAATATAGTGAACAGTCAACTCTAGGGTTTGGGTTTGAGTTCTGTTGAATAATAGTTTTAGTATCTTTTATGGATTAATAAATTCTGTAATCTAGTTTTGAAGAATTTTTTTGTGAAACTTGAGAATAGACAGTATGATATATATATAGAGAGAGAAATAATACCAGACAGTTTACCATCCATTTAACTGCAGTGTGGGAAAACTGGAGTGTAATCATTCTGCTTTGGCTACACTGGCATCTGTTACCTATTACGTACTTGTGGTGTGTATCTGAAAGGACATTTGCTGCCCTAAATCATTTATTTATCAATAAATGCCAGTAAATGGAAATTATATTACATTTGACTATTTTCCAAATGAACAAAGTAGTCTATAAAACTTAGCCACCTGTGTAATCCTAGTCATGTGCCTTGAATATATATCTGTCTCATAATCTGGCTCATGCTATCTGTTCTTCCATCTAAACGTTCCGATTCATGCTACCAGATTCATTTATTTGACATATACTTTAGGCCCACTAGAACTCTTCTTGGTGATCACACATGGCGCAAATGTTTCTTGGTCTTCTTTATCAACACTAATGCCTTTTAATTATATCAGCATTTCCTATTGGAAAACACATTTGTTCCAGGAAAACATTTGGCATTCCTGAATAATAATTTCCAAATGTCTTTAATCCAAAGAAAAAGACTTAAAGCTTATTTCCCTTTCTTATACACACCTGAATAAAAATGATGTGCATGTTTTAGGGATAAATTACTTAACTGTTCATTGGTCTATTTATAAGAATGCTTTTTAAAGCACATATCTTGTTTTAAATGACGCACAAACTGAAGGCATTAATAAAATTTAAGAGTAATGTAATGAGCTTTAGAATTTCCTCCTGGAATCTAATTTCTTCTGATGACATTTTGCCATAGTTTACTTACACTAAGAATACATTAAGAAGTGTGACCTGGGGAGGAATTAAGATGGAGGAGGAGAGAGACCTTATACTTGCCTCATCCCTTGAACACAGCTAGATAAATATCACATCATTCTGAATACCCAAGAAATCAATCTGAGAACTGAGAGAATAAGACTGCACAAATAGCGGGAGAAAAAAGGCCACACCATGGGCGGTAGAAGGTGTGGAGACATGATTTGGGGGACAAAAGAATTTCAGGTCCTGTGAAGGAGAGAGAGTCCTGATCAGGGAGAGTAGAGGGAAGAGAGAGCAGTACACAGAGCATTGCACAAGACACACACTTCCCCAAAACCATTGATGGAAAGCAAGAGGGGCTGATTATTGCAAGTTTTTATAAGCAGCAGAGCTCAAAGTGTGAAGTTTTAGAAGTCTGTGCCATCGCTGGGGTCATGCCTGGCAGGCTTAGCAGTGCTCCTGTGGGGAAGGAGGGTAGAGGCTTGAGTGGATATCATAGCCCGAGGATCCCCTGGGTCACACCAGGAGAGACCATTCCTCTTCTTGGAAGTGCATTTGGGAGAGGTGGCATGGCCTATCTGGGGACAAAAGAGCTGGTGGGCACCATTGAGCTGCCCCGTTCATTAGCATAGGAGTAGAGGCACATGCTGAGGGCAGCTAACCTGGACACCAGCTTTTTGCTGTATTTTGCCATAAACTCCAAACCCCTGTGCATTTGTGTGACTGCCATGGGACAACCTGCACAGCCACAGCATGGTGAGAATCTCATCCAGAGGATGAGCACGGGTCTGTGAAACCCAGCTGGTGAACCTGAGACAAAACAGGAACACTGTGCTGCCAAGTGGGCAGACACTTTGGATGCAGGGTGAAGGCAGGGATCTGAGAGTAGGCTGATGCCATGTTTACCCCCACCCATCAGCACAGAAGGACTTCAGTGAGCAACACAGCATTCACAGTGGAGGCTTGAGCCACTTACACCAAGCCCTGTCCCTCCTCCCCCACACACTCCACAGGTGCTTTTTTACTAGGGCAAGTGTACCTGAGAGAGCAGCAGTGGGCCCCTCCCCCAGAAGACCAGCACAACTCTCCTTCCACACCATATGCACCAAGTCTACTGACCATAGAGTGTTACAAAACTTCAGCTCTAGGGGAAATAAGATCTAGCCTCTTAACAAGCAGACCAAAACACACCTAATTAAAACTTGCTATACAACTGACAAGGTGCAAACACTCCCCACTGCAGCCAAGGAGAAATTCTGCAGAGAACTGACCTGAGCGAAAGAGCAGCTAAAACACAACAGCAGAGTGCACACAGCATAAAGCAGAAACCTTTCCTGAAGCATCAAGCCTTGAACAGTATATGACCTCTTCTTAATATAGCCATTACTTTCAGGAGCAGGAAACATAATAGGCTTTCCTAACACACGAAAGAAGAGACCCAGACAAGATGCCAAGATAGAGGAATTCTTCCCAAAAGAAAGAACAAGAGGTACAGCCAGGGATCTAGTCAAAACAGTTATAAGTAATATGCCTGAACCAGAATTTAAAACAACAATTATATGGATACTAGCTGGACTTGAGAAAAGCATAGAAGACAGTTATCATAGAGTTAAAAGACCTGAAAACTGATCAGGCCGAAATAAAAAATGCTATGACCAAGATGCAACACTGACGGATGTAATGACCACAAGGATGGAAGTATCAGAGGAATGAATAAGTAATAGATACAATTACGGAAAATAATGAGGTTGACAAGAGGAGGGAAAGAAAAATACTGGATTATAAATGTAGACCTAGGGAACTCAGTGACTCAATAAAGCATAGTATTTGTATTACAGGAGTCCCAGAAGAAGAGAGGGGAAAAGGGGGCAGAAGGTTTATTTGAGCAAATTACAGCAAAAAAAAACTTGCCTAAGTTGTGGAAGGAAGTAGACATCCAAATCCAGGAGGAACAAAGAAGTCCCATCAAAATCGACAAAAGCAGGCTAACACCAAGACATATCATAGTAAAATTAGCAAAATACAGAGGTAAGGAAAGAATCCTGAAAGTAGCAAGGGAAAGCTACAGGGGAAGACAAATAAGGTAACAGGAGATCTCTCCACAGAAACTTGACAGGCCAGAAGGGAGTGGCATGGATATATTCAACATGCAGAATGGGAAAAATATGCAGCCAAGAATACTTTATCCACAAAGCTGTCATTCAGAATAGAAGGAGAACTAGTCTCCCAGACAAAAACTAAAAGAGTTCATGAGCACTAAACAAGCTTCCAAGGAATACTAAAGGGGGACTCTTTGGGAAAGAAAAACCAAAAGCAACAAAGACTGGATGCCTGACTAGTTTTTAGGTCTTTTATCTCTGTGGTCTTTTCTCAAGTCCAGCTAGTATCCATATAATTGTTGTTTTAAATTCTGGTTCAGGCGTATTACTTACACCTCTTTTGAATAGATCCCTGCCTGTAATCTCTTGTTTTTCTTTTGGGAAGAATTCCTCCATCTTGGCATCTTGTCTGGATCTCTTCTTTTGTGTGTTAGGAAAGCCTATTATGTTTCTTGCTCCTGAAAGTCATGGCAGTCAATAAAACTAAAAGGCAGCCTACATAATGAGAGAAGATATTTGCAAATGACATATCTGATAAAGGGTATCCCAAATCTATAAAAAACTTACCAAACTCAACACCTAAAAACAAATAATCCAGTTAAGAAATGGACAGAAGACATAAACATTTTTTCCAAAGAAGACATCTAGATGGCTAGATGAGGAACAGAGAAAAATCTTTGGAAACAATGACTTTATAGGTAATAAAATGGCATTAAATTCGTATCTATCAATAACCACTGGGGCGCCTGCGTGGCTAAGTCATTAAGTGTCTGCCTTTGGCTCAGGTCATGATTCCGGGGTCCTTGGATTGAGCCCCACATTGGGCTCCCTGCTCGGTGAGAAGCCTGCTTCTCCCTCTCCCACTTACCCTGCTTGTGTTCCATGTCTCGCTGTGTCTCTCTCTGTCAAATAAATAAATAATCTTAAAAAAAAATCACTCTGAAAGTAAATGGACTAAATGCTCCAATTAAAAGACATAGGATATCAAAATGGGTTAAAAAAAAAAAGGCCCATCTATATGCTGCCTTTCAAGAGACTCATTTTAAACCTAAAGACACCTGTAGATTAAAAGTGAGGGGATGGAGAAATGCTAATGGACATCAAAAGAAAGCTAGCCATACTTATATCAGACAAATTAGATTTTAAACCAAAGACCATAACGAGATGAAGAAGGGCACTATATCATAATAAAGGGGACTGACTGTCCAACAAAGAAGATACAATTGTAAATATTTATGCTCCCAACTTGGAGCACCCAAATATATAAGTCAATAACAAACATGAAGAAACTCATTGAGAACAATACAGTAATAGTAGGGGACTCTAACAACCCCCTTTCAGCAATGGACAGATCATCTAAGGAGAAAGTCAAGAAAGAAACAATGACTTTGAATTAGACACTGGATCAGATGGACTTAATAGATATGTTCAGAACCTTTCATTGTAAAGCAGCAGAATACATGTGCATTCTTTTCGAGTGCACATGGAATGTTCTCCAGAATAGATAATATAGTGAGTGACAAATCAGGCCTGAACAAGATTGAGATCATACCATACATATTTTCAGACCACAACACTATGAAACTTGAAGTCAACCACAAGAAAAAATTTGGAAATACCAGAAATACTGGTTTATTGAAAGAATTAATAAAATTGATAAACCCCTAGCCAGACTTACCAAAAAGAGAAAGATCCCAAATAGATAAAATCATGAGTGAAAGAGGAGAGATCACAACCAAGACCACCGAAAATCAAATAATTATGAAAAACTATTTGCCAACAGATTGGGCATTCTGGAAGAAATGGATAAATTCCTACAAACATATAAACTACCAAAACTAAAATAGGAAGAAATAGAAAACTTGAATAGACCTATAACCAGCAAATAAATTGAATCTGTAATAAAAAATCTCCCAACAAAGAAAAGTCCAGGGCCAGATGGCTTCCCAGGGGAATTCTACCAGACATTTAAAGAGTTAATACCAATTATCAAACTGTTTCAAAAAATAGAAATGGGAGGGAAACTTCCAAACTCATTCTACAGGCCAGCATTACCTTGATTCCAAAACCAAAGACCCCACTAAAAAGGAGAATTACAGGCAATATCCCTGATGAACATGGATGCCAAAATTCTCAACAAGACACTAGCAAATTGAATCCAACAGTACATTAAAAGTATTATTCACCATGATCAAGTAGACTTTATTCCTGGGTTGCAGGGGTGGTTCAATATTGAGAAAGTAATGTGATATACCACATTAGTAAAAGAAAGGATAAGAACCATATGATCCTCTCAATAGATGCAGAAAAAGCATCTGGCAAAGCACAGCACCCTTCTTGATAAAAACCGTCAGCAAAGTAGGGATAGAGGGAACCTACCTCAACGTAATAAAGACCATGTACAAAAGATCCATGGGTGACATCATCCTCAATGGAGAAAAACCGAGAGCTTTTCTCTATGGTCAGGAACAAGACAGAGATGTCCACTCTCAGCATTGTTATTTAACATAGTACTGAAAGTCCTAGCCTCAGCAATCAGACAACCATAAGAAAAGGTGTCCAAATCAGCAAGGAAGAAG